TTAAATCCAGTCCAAACCCGTTTGCTTTCCAAGCTTATGTAACCCGATTTTAAAATAATTGATTGTGGCTCCCGCGTGAAAGGTCACAGCCAGAGAAATAATCTGACGTCAGTTCTAGACGGCGTGGCTAAGCTCGGCAACCATCTTCATTTGGCTTAGCAACGACGGGAAAGGCAGACCCGGCGTTACTAGGCTGGACGGCCATCCTGGTTTAACTTAGCAACGACGGTACTTGTTTCACTTGCAAAGGTTTCCGCCAATACCCTGTTTCGAACGCGCGTCGCTGGATCACGAGTCCTACGCTCTACCATCACACCACCGGGACTCCCGGTAGATAGACCATCGCCTTTTTTAAGGTGGGCTGGGAAACTTATTTCATATATACAAATATACTATACATATATTGTAGAAACTAGAATCTACGTAAATGTAGGGTGATTCTCCTACGTACATCATTGTTTCGGAATGTGGCATAAATACTCTTCCATAATATTCTACTGCTGTTTGCTGGATAACTTCAAATTGGATCACATATTGCTTTACATGAATTGACAAGTTTTTGTTTTTTTCTTATATTTTTTATAAATTCCCAATGTTACATCAGTGCATATACAAATACGTAAACTAAATAATTAACATATAAGTAAACAAAGATACTTTTTCAAAATCACGGTCAGATATAGATTATACAAAGGCAGTTGCCGCATACACTGGTCAGGTTTGAATACTGGGAATAATGGATGCCATTTATTTTCAAATTTATTCATTTTATTCTTTCCTTTTAGCAATGAAGCTTTCAACAGAAGAAATATCTTGTAAAGTCTTTATAAAGTTGTCAAATATTGGGATGCTGTTTTTCAAAGAACTGACATAAATATGTCTTTTAGCTGAAATGATTATATGGGTTTCACTTAAGGTACCAGAATACACCCAATTTGCTGGTCAAATTAACCTTCTTAATAGTTGTTAATCCAACTCTTAAGATCATTCCAAAACTTCTTAGTTTCACCACATTCCCAGTAAACATGACATACATTTTCATCAACATCTTTACAAAAGCTGCATGAGGCACTTTCGATAAGGTTCATTTTTAAAATTTCCTTTTTGGTATAGATAATACCATGTAAATATTAAAATTCAAGATTTACATCATTAATGTCTTGTCTGTAAGACTTAAAAGTCATTGGCCAATCAAAATCAGTATCATCAAACACTTTCTCCCATTTATGACACATATGAGGGTTATTATTGTTAAATAACAATATATCATAAAATAATCTTGATCCATGTAATGATTTCATAAACATCTGTTGATAAGAAGTTACATTCCTGAATTGACGAGCTAGTGTGAAGTGGATTAGTCTTGTAGATCACTGAGACATTGGACACTCTCTGACTGAGCCACATGCTACCAGCTCAGCACAAGTAGCTATATCGCGGGGATATTGTAAACAAACGCTTGATTTATCCTCACTTAGACCCACCAGATCGCGAGAGTCTTCAGCACAGCCGCCGCATACAGAACGGAGGAATTAGCGGGTTAAAGTGATGTAGCAATGACTGCACGTTATTTCACCATGATGATGTGGCCGTCTTGTGTCAGGAATGGAATGGCTGAGTAAGCTGGGGGTTTCCAAGGCAGGGAAAGTCAACTACAGTAACTCGAAAAAACACAATGTGAGTGAAACCCGGTGTGAACCACATCGTACTGCTAGTGTGTATCTACATCCCACTGCTAGTGTGTACCTACACTGTACTGCTAGCGTGTACCTACATCCCACTGCTAGTGTGTATCTACATCCTACTGCTAGTGTGTACCTACATCGTACTGCTAGTGTGTACCTACAACGTACTGCTAGTGTGTACCTACATCGTACTGCTAGTGTGTACCTACATCGTACTACTAGTGTGTACCTACAACGTACTGCTAGTGTGTATGTAAAACGTACTGCTAGTGTGTACCTACATCGTACTGCTAGTGTGTACCTACATCGTACTGCTAGTGTGTACTTACATCGTCCTACTAGTGTGTACCTACATCGTCCTACTAGTGTGTACCTACATCGTACTGCTAGTGTGTACCTACATCGTACTACTAGTGTGTACCTACATCGTTCTGCTAGTGTGTACTTACATCGTACTGCTAGTGTGTACCTACATCGTACTGCTAGTGTTTACCTACATCGTACTGCTAACGGGTACCACATCGTACTGCTAGCGTGTACCTACATCATACTGGTAGTGTGTATCTACATCGTAATGCTAGTGTGTATCTACATCGTACTGCTAGTGTGTACCTACATCGTACTGCTAGTGTTCATCTACATCCTACTGCTAGTGTGTCATCTACATCCTACTGCTAGTGTGTATCTACATCGTCCTACTAGTGCGTATCTACATCGTACTGCTAGTGTGTACCTACATCATACTGGTAGTGTGTATCTACATCGTAATGCTAGTGTGTATCTACATCGTACTCAATGTTTATTAAAGCAGACTTGTTCTCGTCACTATATAGCTGGAATAATGCCTATGTTACGTTAAGGCCAACTCAATTCAACTCAACTCAACTACATCGTACTGCTAGTGTGTATCTACATCGTACTGCTAGTGTGTACCTACATCGTACTGCTAGTGTGTACCTACATCGTACTGCTAGTGTGTACCTACAACGTACTGCTAGTGTGTACCTACATCGTACTGCTAGTGTGTACCTACATCGTACTGCTAGCGTGTACCTACAACGTACTGCTAGTGTGTACCTACATCGTACTGCTAGTGTGTACCTACATCGTACTGCTAGTGTGTACCTACAACGTACTGCTAGTGTGTACCTACACTGTACTGCTAGTGTGTACCTACATCCCACTGCTAGTGTGTACCTACATTGTACTGCTAGTGTGTACCTACATCGTACTGCTAGTGTGTACCTACAACGTACTGCTAGTGTGTACCTACATCGTACTGCTAGTGTGTACCTACAACGTACTGCTAGTGTGTATCTACATCGTACTGCTAGTGTGTATCTGCATCGTACTGCTAGTGTGTACCTACAACGTACTGCTAGTGTGTACCTACACTGTACTGCTAGTGTGTATCTACATCGTACTGCTAGTGTGTATCTGCATCGTACTGCTAGTGTGTATCTGCAACGTACTACTAGTGTGTACCTACAACGTACAGCTAGTGTGTATCTACATCGTACTGCTAGTGTGTATCTGCATCGTACTGCTAGTGTGTATCTGCATCGTACTGCTAGTGTGTACCTACAACGTACAGCTAGTGTGTATCTACATCGTACTGCTAGTGTGTATCTGCAACGTACTACTAGTGTGTACCTACAACGTACAGCTAGTGTGTACTTACATCGTACTGCTAGTGTGTACCTACAACGTACAGCTAGTGTGTATCTACATCGTACTGCTAGTGTGTATCTGCATCGTACTGCTAGTGTGTATCTGCATCGTACTGCTAGTGTGTACCTACAACGTACAGCTAGTGTGTATCTACATCGTACTGCTAGTGTGTATCTGCAACGTACTACTAGTGTGTACCTACAACGTACAGCTAGTGTGTACTTACATCGTACTGCTAGTGTGTACCTACAACGTACAGCTAGTGTGTACCTACAACGTACTGCTAGTGTGTACCTACAACGTACTGCTAGTGTGTACCTACAACGTACTCCTAGTGTGTATCTACAACGTACGCAATGTTTATTAATGCAGACTTGTTCTCGTCACTATATAGCTGGAATAATGCCTATGTGACGTTAAGCCCAACTCAATTCAACTCATCTCAACTCAACTACATCGTACTGCTAGTGTGTATCTACATCGTACTGCTAGTATGTACTGCTTGTTCGTTCCAGCACCATAGTTTCACCAAAGTTTAACCATTTAACGACCGTTTTATCAGCAACAAGGAATGTGTGCCAAGTGGTGTCTCCCACTGAGACCAGTAAATATCCCAGCTGCGTGTATTGATACTGTTGTTGCATGGACAAGATCGTATCTTCAGACTTTCACTTCCAACAAGTGTCACAATGTAATCAGAATGGATATTTAACTGATCCCCCAGAATCACGGAAACATGAAGGAAGTATACACTTAATATTTCGATCCCATAACGTATCTGAAGAAATAGAGATCTGATATGAAGACATTTCCTTTCTCCGGCGAGTGTGGAAACATGGAACGGATCTGCCCTTGAATAAACACAATTCTATACCTAATGTTAGGTACTTGAACTTGTAAGTGCAAGTTAGTTTCAGGTACTTGAACTCTTAAATTTTGTCAGAGAGGTTACTTTGGGTGTGAACAAAACCGACGCCTCGTCTTCAGTTCGTCAGTCGTGTTCAGATATTTCAGTCAAAGATATTTTGTTGGATAAATAGGGAGAACCCTTCTGAAATACTTTCTTTTAAAGACAAATTGGAAAATATAGAAATGTTTTATCTTCTATAATTTTACCTACGGCAAGAATACCTGTATATATTGTATATAATCTGTATGTGTACCAACAGTTCCTCAATTTCAATATTGCCGAGTATATCAATACTCGTCTCTCATTCATTCACTCACCCACAGAACATTCACTCCCCCACAGAAACACTCACCCACTGAATCTGAAATTCACATCCTCAAGTCTTTATAAAAGAATTCCCCTTCTTAGCGGTATATGATATTACAGAGCGGTGCCCATGTCACACAGAGTCCCCGGGGAAGCCCTGGACACTTGGAGGTGTTGCTAATTTCCTGGTGTGTAAGATGCTCGTCTTTTGTTGTGGCTATATTTAACTGATCGTCACCTTAGAGTCTGACAGAGTGCTAAATATGCACGCGACACGTGGGGTGAATCCGACGGGATTTCAAGATTTGTCTAGATACTTGGTGCTATATAACCATGAGTTGGAGACGAGTTCATCACTTTGAGATTATCTCGCCTCGTTACTGTAGACAACTCTCAGGTTAACGATCAAAACGTCTGTAGTTGCAAGTATGGAAGCAATAACATCACCATCGTCATCTCGCCACGTCGTCAAGCTGTTACTGGCGCTGATGTCCTGTGTCACTGCCCAACACACCCACTGTAGGGAAGCAGGTAACATGACTGAGTTGATGGACAGATTCAACAGGTTAAATCCCGGCATGTTTCTCCATTATAACCCACATGGACCTCCTAATGGCGGGACTCCGTCCACCGACTCTCCAACTCTGAGCTGTCCAAGGTCTCTGGGAGATCCTTCAGCTGGTGTGAATGACAAAGCTCTCTGTCCATGGACGACAAGAGTGGTGCCCTACCCTGGTCAGTTACCCCCGTATCTGGTAGAGGCCGAATGCCTGTGTTCGAGGTGTGTAGAGAAGAAAGGATTCAGTTGTGAACGCGTCACGTACTCCATCTGGGTGCTGCAACAGACAGGAGAGTGCAGTTCCGGCGTCCAGGTGTACAGGAAGGCACAGAAGGAAGTCACAGTGGGGTGTACCTGTGTCAATGCACGAACCAACTGAAGCAAATAAACGACCTAATGGACAAGTTGAACACGAACTTTGGAATCTAACAGACAGAATTAACGACGGACTGAAGTTACAGGTGCAGCTTCTCTTGATAAACACAGATATAGGTAAAACGTCAAGTGAATCTACAGGTGAAATTACAGGTGTCTCTACACATGACGCCACAGGTGAAACTACAGGTGTTTCTACACATGACGCTACAGGTGAAACTACAGGTGTTTCTACACATGACGCTACAGGTGAAACTACGGGTGTTTCTACACATGACGCTACAGGTGAAAGCTCATTTCTCTTAAATCCCACAAATGTGCAATGGATGAGGTGTGGTGAGCACATCGTATATCTAAGTGTCCTCAAGTTATATACATATCACCGTATATTCGTCTGTCCTCTGGTATTCTATAAGATGCCATGGTTTTTCTGAATGTCCTCAGGTATTCTATGTGAAGTCCTCGTGTGTGTGAGGACTTGCAGAGACTGAGGGCCTGATGTACAATACCATTACCAATAAACTGTAGTGTTGCTAATTAAATCATTTCATGTTCATGTTTATTTTTCCCAATATGATATTTACCACATTCCTGACACAAGGCTGCTCACTCGTCAAAGCTGCTCAACTTCATGGAGCAGTTATATTTTAATTTAAAAAGAAACACGGGTTGGTAAACAAGCAAAACTGGTTACACCAATACCGAGCCGGTAACAATGAACAATAACAAGACTGATCTAAAAAGAGGTTAACAAATTAAGACTTGTGAGTTAGTGGTATCAGCGTGAGAACAGAAGTGGAGGGCCTAGATTTTCGAAGCTCTCTGAGAGCTAAGGTAGTCGTAAGTGCCATACATTAACATTAACTTACGACTATCTTAGCTTTAAGAGAGCTTCGAAAATCTAAGCCCAGAATTCCAGCTATATGGCGACGGTCTGTAAATAATCGAGTCTGGACCAGACAATCCAGTAATCAACAGCATGAGCATCGATCTGCGCAATTGGGAACCGATGACATGTGTCAACCAAGCCACCCGATCCCGTTAGTCGCCTCTTACGACAAGCATGGGTTACTGAAGGTTCATTCTAACCCGAACCTTCGATCACGGGTCTGACAAGTGAGTAGATATGTAGGGCGTGTTCACAGTGAATAGATATGTAGAGCGTGTACACAGTGATAACAACGCGAGCAGTTCGATGTTTGGGAACTGTGTCTAGTAAATATATCAGCGTTTAGATCACTACAACCGAGCCTGAGGCGACAGTGGATAACCTGACATAATCTGGCTCATGAGTTTAAGTCAAAGTAGGTGCTTGTCAAATCTGGATTAGAAATTAAAGTTAGATTTATGTTGTTGAGTTAACGTTAGTGAATTCTTTTGGCAAGGAGTTCCATACGTTTATTGCACTTGGAATAAATGAATTTGCATACCTCTGGGTTCAACAGTTGATTTTTGGTAGATACGATCGGTGTCTAAGACTACAATTATTCATCTCAGTAATTCTGCCTGGTACAAGTTATGTTAGATATTGTGGAGCCATGCGAGTAGTGTACAGTGTCTCCCTGGCGTGTTTTTCAAGATGGCGGCACATCCGGTCCCCGTGGGCGCCGCCATCTTGGATCAGTCACTTCCGGTCAGGGGGAGATCACTCGGGTTCCGGTTCCGGTGGGTGCATACGCATGGCGATGACGTCACGTCCGGTTCCGGTGGGTGCGCGCGCATGACGATGACGTCACCTCCGGGCCAAGATGGTGGACGCGTTTCAAGATGGCGTCCCATCCGGTGGGATCGCGTGAGATCTCGTGGGATCTCGTGGATTCTCGCGGGATCTCGAGAGCGTAGACGCGTTTCAAGATGGCGGAACGGACGAGCGGCGGACGGGACGGAGAGGGAAGGGAAGGAGAGGAGAGGAGAGGGGAAGGAGGGAGGGAGAGGGATGAGGGCACGATGGCGTGGCTAGACAAGTGTGTGTGTGTGGTTAAAAAACATTGGATGTAGCCTTCTTTCGAGCGAGGTGGGTGGCCCTGAAAAGGGCCGTTGGTATGTGAACCAGGCAGGTTAGCATTCACAGAGGAGATGGAGACCCCGAAAAATAAATTTTCCGGGGCACACATCATCGTGCTGCTGTTGCCCTCTCTTGATGATGCCTTCCCCACAGTAGAGGCATATGTAGAAGTCAGCTCCTGGGACGACATCAAAGCGATTCGAGGGATACGCTTTAAAACAGGTAGGGCAGATAATCAGTCGCCATTTGGATGACCATTTTGGTAATGTTTTCGCTGCCATTGTTGTTGTTGGTGGTGGTGGCGCTACCGTGTCTCCTGTCGTAGGTGGTGGTGGTGGTGGTGGTGGGGCTGCCGCTGCTTCTGTTGCCGTTGTGGGTACCGGTTCTGCAGGTGTTGTTGCTGCCTCTTCCATTTTGATGCCAGCCTTCCCTTGTAAGGTAGGGCTGCACCGCAAGCATTGCCGTCTACCGCAATTTTTCCGGTAAGGCGCCGGTCGCATGACTTCCACTTTTCTTGTATCCATGTAGCATCAAGATAGCCCTCACTGATCCATGCTGGAGTTTATATACAGGCGACGAGACAGCGATGACGTGTCGTCGATGACGTGGTATCCATGACGTCATGGTCGCGCGTGAGGGTAATGACGTAGTACCGATGACGTCACCGTGAGGTGGTGGTGCCCCCATGGCCTTGGATTGGCTGAGCTCTCACTATATATGATGAGCGGGATGACCGAAGCAGTGTTACAACCAGCAATCATGTCTGAAAACTGGGATCTGGAACTCATGTCCTTGGAGACAGCATCACCACCCTTACCGGCATGGCAGTGCCACCATTGCCATGGCTGCCTGCCCGTCTACGCCAATGGCACCATTGTGTACAATGGTACCTTTCAATGTGTCTACTGCAAGACAGTGTTAAAGGACACTTATATCAGGCGTTTAACTCATGGGAGCAAGTGCCCCGTAAAAACAAAGATGGCCATTCATCCCTGCCAATGTAGGTGCCAACTCTGGTCCCTTGAGTGAGGTACACTCTAAAAAAACGGCCCTTTTCAGGGCCATCCATCACTCTCAAAAGAAGCGTTCATTTCAATGCCAATAATAACAACACTAGGTTGACATTTTTCAAACGTTTTATTTTCCCCCGCTAACAAGAACACTTTGACAAAAGAGACAGGATTAGGGGCGTCCCTGATCTTTTGTTTACAAACTGTAACATCATAACTGTAACATCATAACATCAGAACGATAAGGTTGTGTCCTTTGGCAGGGGTGTGGATCATGGCCAGCGTTGTTGTCTGTCAGGCGTGTGGATTGAAACCAACGTCTTACACGTTCTTCATTGACGAGGGTATCGTAGGGATCAAACTGTTCCATCACTTCGTCAAAAGACCATCCACGGGCACGATGAGCCAGTACATACAAACAGTACATCCCACAAGAGGCACTGAACCAGGGTTGAAGTGATTGATGATTCCACTGTTGTTGGAGCCATCCGGCGAAGGTCATGACATTCCGAAAGTCTGGATGCTGTTGGTAAGGATGGAGTCCATAACTGTCAAAGTAGTCCATGACACCTGGTGCTGGGCGATACACGCACACCCAGTGTTGTCCTGGGAGATGGCTGGGGTCCGTGTTGACAATGTAGGCTTTAGGATAATGTCCCTCCTGCTGTTCACACAGCACGGTGGTTGCAAAACGATCTCGGGCAAAGGTACCTTGGTAGAGGGCTTGCAGCAGGGGATCCCGTTGTACGTAGGCGTTCAAGTGTTTGGTCGTCAAGCCACTGCCGTCGTCCATCCTTAGACCATCAGAGCGTTGCGGAACCGATCAATTTCCAAAACGCTTTCGTATTCCTCGTAGCAGACGAGCGTGACGGGGCGTGGTAGGGGTTCTGCAAACTGAAGTTCAAGTCCCAACTTGCCCGTCTGTCGTGGGTAGTTATACCCTTCATCTGCGCCCAGATCCGCCGTCAGATCCACCACCCACACGGTGAATCCGTTCCTGAATTCGTCCAGGGTGAGGTTGCAGGGACGTTCTTGCCACAGGTGTCCCGTGTTGCGGAACAGGTTCATGTACAACTGTTTGAGCGAGGCACTGTTGTTCTGAAAGTCGCTTTTGATTTCGGTGCCATGCACTTCTTGCCCATTGAGTTTCAGCTTGAGGCTGGTCACGTTGTTGTGCTTGAAATGGTAGGGGTTCTTTTCCTTGCTGCCAGCAAAAGCATCATTGTCCACCAATCCCAACACCACTCGTTTGGGCAGTTGGCCTCCAATCAGTTGATCTTTGTGGAAATCGCGTCCTCCTCCTGAAATGTCGTGGGCTGTGACTTGGACTCGGGTCAAAGGATATTTGGCCGTGACTCCTGGTGACATGTGTTTCACGTGTTGTTCCCGTATGGCAGGATCAATGTTGACTTGGCGCACGTAAAACTCGGCTTTGGTCAGTTCAAATCGACACTCGACATCTCCAGCACTCATCAAGTAGAAATCACTCGGGCTGCGAATCAGTTCTAGTTTCATGGGGACTCCATCCACCAGGTACCGGTCTTGGAGAAACAGGTCACAGTGGAGACGTCCTGTCAGTTCCACGTCTCGGGTCGGTAGAATGACCCCCTCGTCGTGCGACAAGTCCTGCGTTGGCATTCTGGGCGACAGCATTAAAGTGCTCCATTTTTCCAGCTTCATCGGTGTACCATCCTGGACACTGGAGATGGGTCCCTTTGGCTGCCTTCCCATAACTCAGCAACGTTTCCAAATAGGCTCGGTAGGGATAGGTACCCATGGAAGGAGTAATTTCCAGTTGGTTGTGTCCCACTTGCACACGCACTTCACGAAAGAGGGAATGCATCATGTTGTTCACCGTGGACACGGCGAGTGCCCCATCGCCATCACGAACTGCATCCGTACCATCTGTATTCTTGATTTTGAGGCAGATGCGGAGGTAACACTGGCTCAAATCGATGTAGGCATTGACAGGGTTAGCAATGTTAAATT